AGTTGTGTAACACCTTTCATGTGAAGATCCCGAGAGCTCAGTTAGCATCCAGTATGACAGTATTACCATATTACTTACAGATGAGATAGCTGAGCAACTGCAAAGGCCAGATCCCTGGGTATGCTGTAGGACGTCACGATTCTAAGTCACTACTAGTGTACCTCACTGGGAGAATGCATGTGTATAAAAGGGAATGGAAGGAGGAGAGCTGGAATTTTGGTCTCAAGTCGAACTGGAGCCTCACACATAAACTCACTTACTGTTTTTTTTTTCCAAGACAATGCTCTTTCTGAACATGATTATTCTTTTTTCTCATTAATTTCTAGGTTGCTCAGTGCCCTGCACAACCTTTCATGTCCTGCGCTGACCCTCAACTACAACACTGTGCTCAGCAGAGCACTCGCCCATCAGAGAGAATCACTGTATCACCTACTCAAACGCCCACTTGACAGAGGAAGCCTGAAGTGTTCTGTGTTTATTTGCTTCTCGCTGTGACAATATGCACCCTGATTTCATCTAAAAATAAAGTAAGAAAGTAAGATTTGTCAGGCAGCCCAGCTCTGAGCATCACAGGGTTGAAGTCAGACCTTCAAGCTTTGTGATACCCAACAGTATGCTACAATAGCATCTTTAAAATGAAATAAACCAAAATAAAGTGGAAAGAACAACTCATGACCTAAACTATTTGAAAAAGAACATTATAGAATGACCGCCCTTCTCTGTCCTCTCTTCTACTCCCTCTCATGTCTTAAAACCTATCTTGGTTTGCTGGCAGTAAGTGCAATACAGCTGAATTTAGGCCTGCATGGGCTTGATCACATACCCAGCACCCAAAACTCTCTTCTTGGATGCTTGTCAAGTGCATGAATAGCATTATGAAACAAAAAAACCCAGTAATCTTCTGCTAGAGATACATCTCAATCAAACTCAAACTACACAAACAAGTTTAAAAGGACAATGCTGTCATATTTAGCCTTGCACTGATTATTTAGCCACCTGAAGCCTTAAAGTGTGGCACTAATTGCTGAGTGAGAATTGGAAATGCACTTGTATCCTTCTGCTGCAGTGGAAGGAGGAAAACCAGACACATTACTATGGACAGGACTGCCTTGAGCTGAAATCCAGATTACTTTTGCAGTGAGACTACAATGTTACACCTGCAAAGTCAGCAGATGACAGTCAGATTTGTAACCTGGAAAGTACTTAGAGAGAGTTTGATCTTTTCATAATAAATATTAATAAAAAATGACCCATTATTTTCTAAACTACAAACTGCTTTTCCATCTCAAGGTGCACTGTTCTTTCCCATTCTGTGCAGAGAGGGTAGTGCTGCAGTTGGTTGCTTCTGGAAGGAAACAACATTAAATAACATATCAGGATTCATCTGATGGGCTTCTGGGTAATTGGATTCCTGCCTCATTGCAAGTAGGTCCCAGCAACAGACTCTGTGACAACCTTCTGATCCCAGCTCATGTAGAAAAGCTGAAAGCTCCATCTTCCCCATGACATGACACATTATTAATTAGACATATTTCTGATACGGAGTTGTTGACAGGGAAGAAGTGCTGTCAGCTGGTATCAACTTTCTCAGGGTTGTGCCTCCCTGGTGTGAAACAGCTCTGCCACTGCATTGTAGGACAGGATTCCTCCTCAAAAAGGTTTTCTTCAAAGATTGGTTTCAGACAAACCTACAAAGGTACAGAGAACCTGCAGAGCTCCCAAGGGTTTCCAAAGCAGTGCTGGACCTCAGGCATGTGGAGCCTTCCTTCTCTTCAGAATAAATCAAAAGAAAACAGAAATAGGAACAAATAAACCACTGTCAGTGCACTGTGGATCTTGTAATGAGCTTAACCAGTAAATTTCTGCTTCCCCTGAGGTGCATCGTAATGTGTATTTAATGAAATCCTCCTTTTCCCTATATCCCTAGCTGGTTTATGTACTATAAATTATGAATGAGCTGCTGTTTAGATATGCAATCTTTCAGCTGTAAAATAAAGACCACTAATATAGCACTTAGAGCACACCAGGATGCCTGCACTCCAACAATGTTTGTATGGGATACAATATGCCAAGCGGTTGTTTGCTCTCACTGGCAGTGATTTATGGAGGTAAATGGACTGAAAGAGCAGAGAAACATCCTCCCATTGCTCTAAGCTCCTCCTATCCAAACTTTGTACAGCCTCTGCTTATTGGTTATGAGAAACAGAAGGTGCCATCCATCTCTTTTTATGAGATAGGGAAATAAAAATTTCATCCTTGTAACACTATTTTTAGTGTGGGCAAAGAGTTCTCAAAGAAATCTAAGAAGGCGAAAAAAGGAAAAGAGAGTATCTATAGCTACTGCCACACCACAGCACTGCAGTTAAACAATCAGTAATACATTGTGTGTGTGTGTCCCTTCATATGAAGATCAACAGATTTTGCTCCAGTCAAGCAGGTTTCATGCAGTTGGTCCCCTGGCACTGTGCTGTCCTCAGCTTACACAGCCCAAGTTCCCTGCATGCAGCATTTAGTATGTGCTACAAAGAGGCAGTTTAACTTATTTAATGATGATTTCAAAGCAAGAGATTTTGGATGAGGATGGAGGTAATGCAGGGCTTCCAGAGCCCACTGGAAGCTTCTGGCTGATATGGATGAGCTGCACACAGAGATTAAAAGAAAAATTGCCTGGCAGGTATAACCACACAGTTATATCTGGGATTATTACAGCTCCCACTGTAACAAAATGCAATGCAGTAACAAACATGGGTTTCCAAAGGCCAGTGTTAAAGCATGCAACTGCCATAAGTAACTATATGTTGCTAGCTTCACTGTGCTAGAGAAACCACATGTTATCTTCTACACATAAGACAAAAAAATCTAAGATAAATTTCCAGTTTCAAATGATGAAATCCTACCTGCCCTAAGATCTCCTATCCTCATCTCCCTTTCTTCTGTATGTCTTTCTCTTCATCATGTTTCTTCTTCCCTTTCATTTAATCTACCCTGCTTCTGCTTGCTTCAATCCTAGTCTGTTTGCCAGGTGTTGTGGCAAATGGTCAAATTCATTCTTGTTCCTTAATGCACTGTGGGATGACAACTGAACCAAACAGTAACAAATGTGGTGACAGACTCCGTAAAGAGGTAGAAAAATCTTTACAAAGCACTGTACAACACATCTGGGTCTCCCGTACTGACTGATGGCTGCAGGAGTTTTGAAGCTGTTTGTTGCAGCTCTTCTCACCTTAGTGTGACATTTCTGCTACTCCAGCACTTTCCACAATGACTATTACCTCTCAAACCAACGAGCTCCCTCTGGCAAAAAAATGGGACTCAAACGTGTTACTTCAGAACAGAATTTAGAAATCATAGAATGATTTGGGTTGAAGTGACCTTAAGCTCATCCAGTTCCAACCCCCTGCCATGGGCAGGGACATCTTCCACTAGAGCAGGTTGCTCCAAGCCCCTGTGTCCAACCTGGCCTTGAACACTGCCAGGGATGGGGCATTTTCCACTTCTTCGGGCAACCTGTTGAAATGTGTTGAGTTCCAGCTTATCTCTCCAAATGCAGAAGAACAAGAGGGTTTTAGTGTAATAACTGAGGATTTGAACAGCATGTTCCCCTGGGTCCTGTCCTTACACTGAAGAAAGAAAACTCAGTAACTGAGTCACATAGAAAATTAACTCTCCCTCTTCCGGGTCTTACGTTCCACAAGTAAATTGCTCAAGCAAAGCACTTAAGCATGCTCACCCTGACTTGTGATCACTTGGTTAACAGCAGCAGCTTAAAGGCATCACTCCTTCGATCTGGAAATAGGTGAGGACAAAAATGTGAGACTAAATCTCAGCCATTCTGGCCCACAGTCTTTGATTCTGGCATCAATCTATTTTCACTGCAGTGCACGCTAGCAAACTTAGCTTGAAACTACGGCAAAGCACACATTTGGTTCTGGTGGTTCTGCTCAGTGGGGGAGAGGTGCTTACTGGAAGCAGCAGCTTAAACCGCTGTATCAAAATGCACTGGAGCTCATCTATGACTGTTCTCCCTCTTCTACTATGAAACAGCTTATCCAAGCCTATAGCTTATTTTCACTTCTTTTCCCTTGCTGTTCTTCGTAAAATGTTACTAATGCAGCTTGTCAGATTTTCTTCAGGTTTATAGCAAGAGCTAAAGGCATTGTGCTGAGAAATAAGTGAAAGAAAGAGAAAATACTCTTTAGTGTAAGACATAAATAGTGCTCTACTGTTGATTTTACTTCTGTTGTTGGTGGTGGCTGTTTTCTTTAGGATGGCCAAGGAGAAAAAGAAATATTACAGAAATCTAATACTGTGCAAAAGAAAAATATAATACTCAGCAAAAATCCAAATAAAAGCTAAGTGAGCATAAAAACTGTTTGAAGGAAGAAACACCAGGGTATTGAGTGCTGTTAGCATTCAAATCAAGCAGTGAGATTGCTCGTATCACAAACATAGTCCTCCCCAACACACTCACCAATACAACACAGTGTCTGTGCTGTACTTCCATGGCCCACTATGTGCTAGGAAAGAATGCAACTGAGCTACACTATGTCTGGACACAGGTTTAATGCTCGTTCTCAGCAAGAACAAGGATGCTGAGGATGTCGGAGAGGGACTCTTCATCAGGGACTGTAGCAACAGGACAAGGGCTGATGGGTTCAAACTGAAACAGGGGAAGTTCAGGTTAGATCTAAGGAAGAAGTTCTTCCCTGTGAGGGTGCTGAGGCGCTGGCACAGGGTGCCCAGAGAAGCTGTGGCTGCCCCATCCCTGGCAGCGCTCAAGGCCAGGTTGGACGGGGCTTGGAGCAACCTGCTCTAGTGTGAGATGTCCCTGCTCATGGCAGGGGGCTGGAACTGGATGATCTTAAGGTCCTTTCCAACCCAAACCATTTTATGAGTCTCTTATTCAAAGTATCTACACCCCACTGCAGGCAGTAAGTGTACTTAGCCATAAGTTTAATCTTACAGTCTTGTGCAGCAGAAAGCACCAGTACATCACTCACCCATAATGTGTAGGACCCCCTGCGGCTCCCTGGAAAAGTCAGCATGCTCTGATCTGAGACAGCAACCGACGCCAGGCCACTGCTCCTGGATGGTGGCCATTCGAAGTTAGCTTCCGCCTGCTCAGCTTTGCTTTTCTGCTTCTTTATAATCTGTAGGGTAGAGGGGAAGAGAGAAAAAAAAGGGTGCTTGGGAAATACTCTGAGCCATAGGAAGAAAAAAACTACATTAACCCTGTCCCAAGGCAAACCACCTAAGAAGAACATTTGAGTTTCCCTTTGCTTTTACTCCAGTTCATGCAAAGATGATTCTGACACCTTGCATGCATTTCTTCTTATCTGAAGTCATACTGCTTGCCAGCACATAAGCATTGATACAATAAATCATGAGCAACGCCTGTAGGAACATCAGAGGTGAATTAAATAAAGGTGGAAAGCTGTTCCAACAGTAGCAGTTTAAACATAAGCAGCATCTAAGTGTCAAGTATTTTCTCAGACAAGAATTTCTGCGAAGAAACATAAAGCACTAGATATGAGGGGGATTTCAAAGGTTTCCATGACATTGACGGATTTCTGCTGAAAATGAAGAGGTCTTGGGTGTCTAGGCACTGTTTTTGCTTTTGAAAATCTACATTGCCTTAAAAGAGAGAAGATCACACAGACTACCTGTCTCTCTACACTGACAGATTATATCCTGCTGCATTTAATTTCCGCAACTTTTCTGACTCCAGTTTAAAATACCTACAGAATATTATTTGGTGGCATAGAATATCTTGTTAGGCAGCTTTTGACAAATGTGGTAGCAATTCTAGCTTGGCTGAGATAGGCTCTGGACTATCAAAGACTTGATAAGCAGGATTAAGCTTCTAACATCCCTATTAAAAAAAGAAGGCAGATCACTTCCCATTCAGCTGCCTCTGCTCTTCTGGTTTTTCTTTAAAGCCTAATAAACAACAAATTCATCTTCTGATGTGTGATCCAACAATTGTCAAATGCCACATCCCATACACAGATGTGGCAATTAGCTTAGTTCACATGGAGGGAGACCAATGCAGCAGAGTGGTTACTTTATTGATGATGGGGGCTCAGGGGCACCTTCTTCATGCTTGTCCTTCCTTGCTCTAAACTGTACAAACTCAAGGGATATTTGTTCCCACTAGCCCCCATTTCTGTGCTGCATCAGTGCCAACTGCAAGCTTCACAGGGAGAAGAATGAGCTTTCCAGAAAAAGCCACACAAATCAGACACAGGGTTCTGTGATTTTTTGGGTGTCTCTCACAGCATCATTACCAGAGTTCTGTTTTAATGATCAATGTTTTTTTTGTATGTGTTGCAGATGGAGAGTTCAGTAGATGGTATGGTCAGGAGCCACACTTCTCTACATTGGAAAACTTCATGTCCCTTGGGAAGTGAAGTACAGATGTAAAATTCCATGGAGCAGGAGCCTGCTCTTCCAAGAAAAGATGTAAGAGATCTGAGGAAGTGGTACCTCTCAGCTCTGAGGGTGCAGGGCAACAGCTTAGGCACTGGATTAAGTTTATTTCTGTCTAGATGTAGCTGATTAAGCCTATACTGTGATGCTTGAAGTAGCAACTTTTCATTTACTCTCCTTTCTACATTGGTGTCATCCTTTTTGCTGCTAGCAAAGTTAAAGCTCACCAGACTAAAGGATTGTGTTTTGGCTATTAAACAAGCTAGGGAAAAAATGCATGCCATACCTTCTGCACGATGGTTGTGGCCAGCTCTTCTATGAGGTCCTCCTTGTGTTCCTGTAAGTAACAAGCCTCATTCTGCTTGTCCTGCATGAAAATGGTTATCTGTTGTTGCTAAAATCACAGAAAAACAGCCTTTCCACAGAAATGGTACAGATCAGGAAATGGGTAAAATGCCCTTACTGGCACTGTGGAAAGAATTACAGGTTCTTAAATTGCATGTCAACTTTGAACTGTAACATGCATCTTGAGTACAAGTTCATGAAACTCACACCCAACTCTTCAGATATGGCATGAGATAACTACTTCTTTATGTTTTCTTTTTTATCTATTTGTTTTTGTACCACTACCCAAATTAAAAGAAATGTAATTTTTCTGTTTAAATTACTACATTTAATTTTCTGTAAATGTTACCAGGCTGTCACTGTAGGTCTCTGCCTTAGAAATAGCTTCTTCCACTGCTTCCTCTGCAACACGTAAGGCCACAGCAAGGGTATCCATCATGCTGTGTCCTAGGTGAAGAATCAGATAAAAACACCATGTACTTCACATATCCACATTTTGCATGATGAGCTCCAAAATTCAGACTCATATTCTGGACATATATTCAAATCTTAGGGTGTTCATGACAAAGTTAATTTCCTCAATCCATAATTCTGCACATGAAAATTAACACCAGAAGGCAGAGAAATAGGTCTCAATCTATATGTTACTTCTGAAATGTAAATGTGAAATACAAAAAACCCACAAGATTTTTATGTTTCTTATTTTAGAATCCAGCAAAATAGTTCAGAGGGAACCACAGGAAGAAAATGTGTAAACTTCAACAACAGAATATATGAAAATATATGAGCATAGGAAAGGAAATAGGAGAGAAGTAACAAATCCTGGACATTAAGAAAATCAAACTAGCATAAGCACGTATTGGTTGTAATACCAAAGTGAGATAGCCCAGCTTGTTACACACAGGATTGTTAGTATTGTGCTGAATGTTTGAGTCAAAAGATTTTGAGCAGGATACCTTCTGTCTGTCGGTAGAACGTAGAGTCACTGCCACAAATGCTTCCTTCATTTTCAAAGCTGCCTTCAAAAAACCCTCCTTCTGCTCAAAAAAAAGACAGTACTCTGCATTACCAGCTGAGGCATTAGAATTAGAATAGAATATAGAATTAGAATAGAATTATATAAAATTAGAATAGAATTAGGTTAGAATATTCACTCAAGATACAGTGGCACTGAACACAAAGAGGGATAGCCAGAAAATTCCTCCAACTTCTTGTATAAACCATGACTGCAGCAGCTTTTGTTACAGAACATGACTAGTTTTATATGAAAGACCTCTCATTTTGGATGGAGAAAACTATTTGTACAATAAAAGACAGGAAGAAGCTACTAGGTATAAAACTTACATGGCAGAAGTACAGGGAGTTTGCCTTTAATATGACATTTGGGGTTGAAATAGATTCTACATTTTAAAGGGCAACGCTGTATAAATAAGCCAATCCCTAGACACATATACTAGTATTTATCTTCAAAGGGAACAAAGGGTTTATCTAACCCTCACATGGAGAGTAGAAGAAAGTTAGCAATGACATTTAGACTTAAAGGCCTTCCTTAGAAAGGTCTCACAGAGAGTGCACATGCCACTGCAACTCATCATTGCATTGTCCACACTTCCATTCCGGGACAAATGCAGTGACTCTACAGCTTAAGTACAGGCAACACGTGTTATTAACATTCTGAAGGATCCATCCTCACAGTTTTTAATTCCATGTGCCACGACTGCCCTCACTGACACGGATTTTCTTGCCTTCAGACATACTTGTTCTTAACTGTTAAGGAATCTTCTCTAGATAAATGGATTTGATACAAAGAAAGCAAAAAGACTAACAAATCAGAATTGAATGCATGGGTGGTTTCTCCCTAGAAGCCAAATGCCACTTGTTCTAGCCCATTTTGTATCTCCAATTACTTTTATGGGCAAGGCATAGTTAAGGGAGAATTGTATCTCTTCATTTAAAAGGGTGACACTGATACTTAATCAGCATCTTTTAACCATTTACAAATACCAGTACAAAAATAAGATGTGGCCAGTTTCAGACTCTTAAGCATGCAAAACTCTGAGGTTAATCTTAAGTTTTGGTCAACTTGGATGCTGAATGTATCCCATTTACCCAAATTTTGCCTCAAACCCCACAGAAATGTGCTCTAAGGCCAAATGTTGGATGCAAAATTATTTTCTCATTCATGGACTACTTGGAACAGTGATAAATTTTGGAACACAGGCTGGGATATAAACTGCAATTTACTTTACAGACTGAAGATAGAGGAACAGTTCTTCTGTATCAATGGCATAATTATGATTAAACATCCTTTGAATTCACAAACAGGTCTCCAGCCACTTCACCTCTTTTTTCTGTTCACCGAGGTATTTCTTTGATTAAAAAAAAAAAAAAAAAAAGCCTTAAAAAAATCTCTTTTGAAATTATCTCAGATTTTCCACCGTCTCATCTTGTGTGTTAAAGTAGATAAGCTGAGGGGGAATGGCTTTAACCTGCCAGAGGGGAGATTGAGGTGAGCTCTTAGGAAGAAGTTCTTCCTTGTGAGGGTGCTGAGGCGCTGGCACAGGGTGCCCAGAGAAGCTGTGGCTGCTCCATCCCTGGCAGTGTTCAAGTCAGGTTGGACACAGAGGCTTGGAGAAGCCTGTTCTAGTATGAGGTGTCCCTGCCCGTGGCGGGGGGTTGGAACTGGATGAACTTTAAGGTCCCTTCTAACCCAAACCAGTCTGGGATTCTATGAACCTATAGTAAGAAATCTTACCTATTACATCAGGGCAACCTCCGCTCTCCAGTCTATGCTTCTTGTATAAGTTCTTCAGGACTTTGGCACTTCCAAAACACTTAAAGCGGCTTTTAACATTATTATAGTACCAATCCAGAGACTGGGTCCTTAGGAGCCTAAAACAGAAAAATAAACTACATATTTGGAATAATTCTACAACAAATAAACAGGAACAGTTGCCATCCTTCTACACAAAAAGAGATCTTTTAGGCCTCCAAGTATAAACATACACATTTTTGAATACTTCTTTACTGTTTATACTTTTCAAGTATCTGGTATACTGAGGCAAGAAGAAAATAGAGGTAAGTCATGAGCAAATATCTGTTTCACATTACTCATGGTTTTATTTGGTTTTGCTACTATCAGAAGAGGTGCTCTCCCCTTTTACACTGTAAAGCCAACACTACAGCTTTTTGAAAAACACAAACAAGCCTTGGAACAGCACAGGAAGGTTTTAAAAATAGCCTTTATTTACACAGATTTACAGATAATGGCAGAAAATGAGCCCATGAATGCAGTGCAAAAAATAACGTTTTCATAAGAATATACCCCTGCTTCTATTTGGGGAAACCAAAAGAGTAGACAAAGTCTTTAATTAGGACCTCATTAGAGCAAAGAACAGTAGGTGGAAAACCTAGTTTGGAGGGAAGGACTCACAACTGCAGTTCAGTTTCTTACTTTCAACATTTAGCATCATTGATGTCAATAATTCATCCTAATGGATTTGTCCCCAGAGCTCCTATGTTTTTATAAGCCATGAGACACTGTCAAGCTCTGCATCCTTTTTCAAGCGGCAATGGGTGCACAGAACCTGCACCATTCCAAGGCAACACTACCAAAAAGTCACCTATCTCACTGCACACACTGCATGAGTTCAGACAGTCAGTTATGAATGCTGACCCAGCAACTTGAGAAAAACAAGAGATGTGACCCACTGCAAGGCTGTTTCCCCATATTACCATGGGTTTTTTTTGGTCTGATCAGTACTGTTTCTGTAAAAACAGAAAACAAACAGCACTGACTTCTCAATGGGGGGAGAGTGCTTTGCAATAACACAATTTTAGAGTCAGGCTTTGTATCTGTAATGATATTTTCCATAGGTGAACTTTGGAAGAGTCAAAAGGCAAAGAGATTACACATCTCAAAGCAACAATGAAAGAAGAGATTTGCCTCTTTGTACTAGTTAATCTGGTGCAAACACAAGGATTGGTATTTTTGTTTTAATTTCCTCATTGCTGCAGGATTAACACTTTGTGAGTAATCGAATCATCTCATGCTTCTCTCCTACGTATTGGAGAGCTACCAACAACTCCAAATCTGTGCTTTGGTCCTGCACACATTTTACAGAAGATTACAATGCCCCCTCTAAAGCTTATCAACCTCTAATAGTGTGCAAGTTCTCTCCGTGAAATGAGAATTCACACTTAAAGCTGTATGCATTTGAAGAAACGGTTGTAGCCACTTCTTTTTCTGTGCCATAGAGACTAATATGTCTTCACTGTTAAACCATCTTAATCCCTAGGGACATTATTTATGTTATAGCATATTGCAATGGAGCTGAGTTGCATTTTGATGTGCTTTGGGCAGAGTGGAATACTGTGATTTTATGATTCCGCCTTACTCCAAAGTGTGAAAGGTAGGCAAACACTTTTGGGTTAATAACAATGAAACTTGAATGAGTATTACTGCTGGGCTGCACCCCCAGAGCGTGAGCAGCAGGTCGAGGGAGGGGATTCTCCCCCTCTGCTGCATTCTAGGGAGAACTCCCCCTGCAGCCTATGCCCGGGTGTAACATCCAGCCTCAGGTCGCTTGAGGTCTGCATTGAGCAGACTCATGCAGGACAGGAGCTGCTTTACAATTCTTGCACCTTTTGTGGATGTGACAATTCTTCTAGATTAAGTAATGACAATTTAAAAAGCCAAACAACCTCACTTTTGAAATACGGGACTATCCATACAGGACTATTCACAGATCAGAACTGTTGCTCTGTGGGGGACTCCAAAATGCAACACACAACCACATCAAACTGAACAAAGTATCACAAGTGCAAATTTTGAGCAGAAAAACAACATCAATGCTTTAGTTTCCAGTCCTTCAAAGCACTCTCAAGGCTCCTTGAACTTCCCGAGGGGCTCAGCCGTGAGTGAGGAGATGGAGGGGTTGGGAGCCAGGAGAAGAGGCATAACTGCTGAACTATGGCAGAGCTGGGAGACTGGTGGCCAGGGACCCCTCCAAAGCAGACCTGTTTCACCACACTGCTAGGCTGGAGGCAGAGGCAAGCTGCAGTTAACAATGATGTTCCCCCCCAAGTAGGTGATGAGCGCTGTAGGATGACATCCTTGAAGCCCCTCCATCACCCTCTTGCTGTGTTGATGCCATGTTCTACATCAGTGGTTGGGAAACTCCAGCTAACCCATGTGATGGTGTCTCAGGCATTGCCACAGGACCCCAACACGGTTTCTCTCCCTGTCCCAGCCTCACACACACTATAAGGCTCAAGGCTCTTATTTCATTTCCCAATGGAGAGAAGAGGCCTCAGCCTGGTGCCCAGAGAAACAGTAAAGATTTAGCCTATCAATTCTTATTTACCAGTGTCAGAGTAAAATTTCTTCAAACTCAGCATCCTGAAATACTCTTTCTCTGCAGTAGCAATATTTGCCTTTTCCCTTGGGCTGATGTTTTAGAGCTTGTAACATACTGCTTGTTGTAAATTGTTGAATTAAAGTATTTCAGTTCCTTTCAGTCCCAGTGAAATCAAACATAATTCCAGCTCAAGAAAGCAACTTCACATTCACTCCCTTCAGGAAGAATCATTACTATAGCACACAAACACTGCACACACGAATATCCTACCAAGGCTGTTTCCTGAAAATCACACTATATGTAGCATATATATAGCATACACATATATGGCTGAATTTTATATATATATATATGCATGTATATAAAACAAAGAAGTTGTCCCTGTCCCTTACAGTGAAATCAAGACTTTCCTGTGCCAGCAAAAATGAACTTGGCCTGATAATTGCGCTGCAGCCTATATTAATTATTCAGAGCTCAACCAACAGGATGGTGCTATGTAAGGCATTTCCTAAAAACACGCATCCTCTTGACCATTCACTGCCCCAGTTTGGGCCTTTGAATTCCAACATGGAGCCAGGTACAAGAAATAACAAATTAAGGCTAGCATAGAGGGAAAATAAAGGTTTTTGGTTGTTGTTTATGGAAGACAGCTGTATGTGAAACACTCCAATTTGCTTCCTCTGTCTCCTTTACCTTTGAAATCAGCAGTCAAGAAGTTAGATGTAGGAAGGAGCCTGAATAGGTTTGATACAGAAAACGTAGATATACTTTTTGAATGAAAATATATACCTAGGCCCTTCAAAACAAACCTCAGTGAGTTTGCAAAGAGAGATGGGAAGGATTGTTCACTGCAGCATGTGCCAAACCGCAGGAATCACAGAGTCATAGAATCATAGAATGGTCTGGGTTGGAAAGGACCTTAAGATCATGCAGTTCCAACACCTCACACTAGTCCACGTCACCCAAGGCTCTCTCCAGCCTGACCCTGAACACTGGAACGCCTCTCTGGGCACCCTGTGCCAGTGCCTCAGCACCCTCAACAGGGAACAACTTCTGCCTTAGATCCAACCTGAACTTCCCCTGTTTCAGTTTGAACCCATCAGCCCTTGTCCTGTCCCCCGGAGAAGGAGTCCCTCTCCAAGCAGCCTTGTAGCCCCTTCAGACACTGGAAGCTGCTCTGAGGTCTCCACGCAGCTTCTCTTCTTCAGGCTGAACAGCCCCAATGCTCTCAGCCTGTCTTCATATGGGAGGTGCTCCAGCCCCTGCTCATCCTTGTGGCCTCCTCCAGACTTGCTCCAACAGCTCCATGTCCTTGTTATGTCGGGGACAAGCAGCATGTGAGGTGTATCACTGCAGTGATAGGACAAGGGGTGATGGGTTCAAACTGAAACAGGGGAAGTTCAGGTTGGATCTAAGGCAGAAGTTCTTCCCTGTGAGGGTGCTGAGGTGCTGGCACAGGGTGCCCAGAGAAGCTGTGGCTGCCCCATCCCTGGCAGTGTTCAAGGCCAGGTTGGACAGAGCCTTGGGTGACATGGTCTAGTGTGAGTTGTCTCTGCCCATGGCAGGGGGGTGGAACTGGATGATCTCAAGGTCCTTTCCATGATTCTGTACCACCTTCAGTTCAGATTTATACACTTTTGCCACTTATACTCCCCCCATGTTGCCATTTAACAATAAATTTTCACTTACCCAGCACCATGTGCACACGGCTCCATCACCACATCCTCCTTCATTTCTCGCAGTCATCTGCATGTTTAACTTACTTTTCCTATGAAGCTATTTGGGTCTCCTCTGAATTTTAGTCTTCCAATTACATTTCCTCAGAATTAAAGAAGTTCCTTTCACAAAGTCTTATTGAAACAAGACAATAAAGGTCCCTTTTAAGACTTCTGCAAAGGATAAGGCTGGATGTAGGTCAAGTTCAGTGGTTTTTGCACCTCATCCTGAGTTAATCTTCTCATTTGAAAAGAGTCAGGCTAAAAACATCTTCTGGTTTAACTTGGGCACAAAGCCATCATTCTGGTTTGTGAATGAAGGCTGTGAGGGTGAGCTTGGTAAGGACCATTTTTAGGTCTGTTCCCCAGAAGATAAGCATCATGCGGCAGTTGAGGAAAACACTGAAATGATACTGGTATAATTGTAATTGCGGTTTGATCCTCCAGTAGGAGAACACATGTAAGAGCACAACATGCCAGCATTTAACTGGGCTATTTCGCCCTGTATCTTCCCTGTGAGGCTGAATGTCAGGAACCCCTGGCTCACAAATGAATGCATATCTGGCATATTAATCTGACCTTCTGCCTCCAAGAAACATGTTGTGTTTCAGGGTAACTGAAGTGAAAATAAAGATTTTTGTGGCAGTTATGAAAGTATTTTTTATAAAGGAAAGGGTTTTCAAACCCATGCTCCACCATAATTTAGTTGACTATAAACACTAGGGGTGAAATCACAACCGTGGAGAGCTAACAGCAGTTAAAGCAATGACTTAATAAGGGGCAGGACCTCTCTTCAGGCATCTACCAGCAGTA